ATTTATTAAACAAGTAATTAGCCATTCAATTTCATGAATATTTACTATATAATTTCATTTTATTCACATTAATTTAGTTTGTGAGTATAAAATGGGTATGAAGAACTTTTTTGAATTAAATAATTAAAATAAGCTAATCGAATCATGAATGTTTACCATTTAATTTTATTTTATTCACGTTAATTTAGTTCGTGAGTATAAAAAATATCTTTTAAATAACATAAGCTATTCAAGTTCATGAATATTCTATATAATTTCATTTATTCACATTAATTTAGTTTGTGAATATAAAATGAGTATAAAGAACATTTATTGAACTAAATAATTAAATTAGATATTCGAATCATGAATGTTCACTATTTAATTTTATTTTATTCACGCTAATTTAGTTCGTGAGTATAAAAAAAACATTTATTAAATAACATAAGCTATTTAAGTTCATGAATATTTACTACTTAATTTCATTTTATTTGTGTCAATTTAGGAAGTAAGTATAAAGAACATTTATTAACTAAGTACAGTCAACCCTCTCTATAGTCACACTTTTGGGATACAAAAAACTATGATTATAAAGAAATGTGACTAATATAGAGATATTTTCTTTATAGTTCTAAATAATTGGTAAAAATAAAATTCTAAATATATTAATTTTGTGACTATAGAAGGTTTGACTGTATTTGAAATAAGAGAATACGCATTTCCTCGAAAATTATTTTTCCAAGGTGACAATTTAGCATTTTATTACCGTAGGCATATATTATTAGTAAATTGTCGTCTTGCGTGATATCAGTAAAATGTCCGGGAAATAGTTTTCATGAAAATGAGACGTAACTAAAACAAGCTATTCAAGTTCATGAACATTTACTGTTTAATTTCATCTTATTCGCGTTAATTTAGTTCGTGAGTATAAGAATATTTATTAATTTAAATATTTAAAAGAAACTATTCACGTTCATGAAGATTTAATATTTAATTTCATTAAACGTACTGCAGTTAGTAAGTATAAAAAATATTTATTAATCTAAATATTTAAATAAACTATACAAAATCATAAATATTTACTACTTAATTTCATTTAACAAACTGTAGTTAGTGAGTATAAAGAACATTTATTAGTTTAAGTATTTAAAATAAACTATTCAATTCTTGAATATTTCTTATTTAATGTCATTTTATTCACGTTAATTTAGTGAGTGAGTATAAAAACATTCATTAATCTCAATATTTAAAATAAGATACTCAAATTCATGAACAGATTACTATATAATTCAATTCAGCCCGTGAGTGTGAAGAATGTCGATTAAAAAGTATTTTAAATAATCTGTTCAAGTTCATAAATATTTATTATTTAACTCACATTAATTTAGGGAGTAAGTGAATTAAACTAATTAATTAAAATAAGCTATTTAAGTTCATAAATATTTACTATTTATTTTCATTCATTTATATTTAGTTTGTGAGTATAAAGAACATAGTTAAACTAAATAATTAAAATAAGTTATTCATGAAAATTTACTATTTAGGGAGTAAGTATAAACGTTTATTAATCTAAATCTCTAAAATAATCTATTCAAGCTCATAATTATTTACTTTTTTTTACATTAATTTAGTGGGTATGTATAAATGACATTTATTAAACTTATTAAAATAGTCGATTGAAGTTGATGAAGAGTTACTATTTATTTCATTTTATCCGTATTAATTTAGTTGGTAAATATAAAGAATATTTATAAACTAAGTAATTAAATAAGCTATTCAGGTTAATTTTGTTTTATTCGCGTTAATTTAGGGAGTAAGTAAAAAAATATTTATTAAACTAAGTAATTAATTAAGCTATTCAAGTTCATGAATATTTACCATTTCACTCGCATTAATTTAGAGAGTGAGTATAAAGAACATCTATTAAACTAAGCAATTAAATAAGATATTCAAGTTCATGAAAATTTACGATTTAATTTCATTTTGTTCACATTAATTTAGGTTGTAAGTATAAAGAATATTTATTAAACTAAGTAACTAAAACAATCTCTTCAAGTTCATGAATATTCTATTATTTATTGTATTAATTTAGGTGAGTGTAAAAAATATTTATTAAACTAAATTGTTGAATAAGCTACTCAAGTTTATTTAGTTTATTTAATATTTATTTTTATTTATTATTATTAATTTAGAAGGTAAGTATAAAGAATATATACTAAGCTATTCAAGTTCACTTACTATTTATTCGTTTTAATTTAGGTAAATATAAAGAACATTTATTGATCTAATTTAAAATTAGCAATTCATCATTATAGATTATTTACTTAATAAATAATAAATTGATTAGGCGGTAAGTATATAATAATTTGTATTAAATTATCTATTTATGCAAAATAATTGATACGTATATTATCAAATCATTATATAACAAAGGGATCCTAAATATGGAAAATGTACGCATTGTAACAATTATAACACATATGAACGTTGGTGCTGTATATGTGATCCTGAAATAATAATTCGAAATTGGACAAGTGGAAATAAAGATGTTGATTATTGCATAAAAGAGATTCAACTTAGAACTACTAGATATGAGAACATTATTGAATGGATTCCATTTGATAGATTAACCATTATTGGCGAAATTGGCAAAGGTGGATTTGGCAGTGTATATTCTGCAACATGGTCAGATGGTATACGAAAAATTAATATCAAACGGGGAATACAAAAAGTTTTTAGTGGTAAATATGTGAAATCACGTGAACTGTCTAGCATGGTTGCACTCAAGACCCTGTCTGGCTCTTCCTTGAAAGAAGTAAGTTAAATTACTGGTTATTTATTGTCATCAAAAATATAGTTGTACTAATAATTCGTTTGTATAAACTTAAGTTTAAAAGTCATATGAAATGTATATTAATTGGTAGCAAGCTCAAAATATATGGATTAACTCAAAATACGAAAACAAATGAATATATAATGGTGTTTCAATATGCTGACAGTGGAAATCTTTATAAGTTCTTGAGAAAAAGTTTTCAAGACCTTAACTGGCTTGATAAATTACAACTACTTTTAAATATTTCAGAAGATTTACGTCATATTCATTATGCAGGATTCATTCATGCAGACTTTCACAGCGGTAATATTTTGCAACATAAAGGCATTAGCGAAAATATGCAATCTTACATCTCAGATCTTGGATTGTCTAAAACTTATAATGAAAATAATTCAGAGGGTTGTATTTATGGCGTCATGCCTTACGTCGCCCCTGAGGTTTTATTAGGTCATGAATTTACAATAGAATCTGATATTTATGGCTTTGGGGTCATCATGTCAGAGATGTCAACTGGACAAAGACCTCATGATGGTGAGCAATTTGATGAAGATCTTGCAGTTAATATTATTAGCAAAGGATTACGGCCAGAATTTGCTCCTGGAACTCCCAGTTGCTATATTGAATTGGCTAAACAATGCATGAATTTGGATCCACAACAACGACCATACGCTTATCAAATTTGTGATAAACTTCAAGAGTGGATTAAAAGCATAAAAAGTCCGGATAATAATGAAATTAGACAGCAATTCTTAGATGCTGATAAAATAATTAAAAAACTATCAATTAAATTACCAAAACACCCGGATTTTATGTACACTAGCAAAATAATTAACACCCCAAAAATATCAAATGCAGTTAAAGGTATTTATTTCAAAAATGGTTCTATATATTTGTTACTTCAAATTAATTTTTTACTTGTCGTTTTAGTAAGCGTGCCTATTGAATATACTGAAATTCCCAATGGTAAGTAAACATTCTATTAAACTTATTCACAACTAAGCATATTTTACTTACTATATTACTGTTCATAGATTGTTAATGAAATATAAAAAATAAAAAAATTTATAATTTTACATATTAACAGAATTTATGCGTTGTATCAAATATATATATCTATCTATCGATCTATGTATAAAATTATAATAAATTAGAAAAAAATTATTTTGTATTGCAACACATTATAAGCAGAGTTTGGATTTAAGTCTGTTACAAAGAAATGTATAAAGATAATTTTTCACAAAGCCAAATTGCGATTCAGAATTAATGATCAGATATCTGATTTTGTGTGTATTTGTTTCAAAATAAACGATTTTTTTGTACTATAACTAGTTATCGTTCAAACTCATGATAATTTTTTTTCGTTATTTTTGTACGTTATTATATAAGTACAACAATCTCAAATTAAAGCTCAGTTAGACAACCACGACTTATAAATCTATACTTATATCGAGAGTTCACTATAACGAAAGTCCCTTGCACATGGGATTTTTTTTATAAATTATAATAAGATGATGTAAATTGTATATCAAATAACTTAATGATATTATTTGATGTTTTTTAAAAAAACTCGTAAACATGGAGTATTTAGTCAAAATTTTTCATCACACATAATACAATTATAACTTATTTATTTAAACAATGATTGAAAGTTTTTATAAGCCAACCCTTATATATAAGTATTTTGCTAAATAATATAGAAATAATTATTTCTAATATAACTTACTTATGACTCAAATGCATTATTTGATCATGAATTAGTTTATAAAGTGCTAAAAAATATGGAGAAGAATTTGCAGATTTTACTAAATTAAATATAAGAACATAATATTCCCGTTCTTAACAACGTCTAATCCATGTTTATTTTATTAAGATTCAACCCTTTTGGTATAGCAAAATGTATCTGTTAATGTTTTCTCCTACCGTTCCAAAATTATTAAAGGTTTAAAAAACTTTAGTGCTATGTTCTTGCAAGCACTTTGACCTTCAGCATTATGCTGGTAGCTTTCATGAAAATAAAAACTTTGAGAGTTCAGAATAATTGAATGTATTTCAAATATCTGGTGATTTTGCATCTAACTAACTTTAATTAATACATCAGAATCTTCAATTTTCGAGAATATAAATATCTTGAGAGTTTTTAAAAATTTTTGTAGGTAAGGATGGTGAACATGTATGCTATCAATTTAATCTACAATAACAACTCATCTAATAAGACATCATCGGGATTCAAAGTGCGATATAATTCAAAATTGAATTCATTATTAACCAAAAGCTTTTGACACATTTTATCAATAGCACTAATGCTTAACACAGTTTGCACATATGCATCAATTAAATCATCAACACCCACTCCTATAGTATCAAACTCTTTCTGGCCAACTGTGATTACTCTTTCATATTCTGCTATCCACCTAGAACCTAATTTAACGGATATATTTGTTCCAAAGACCTTCCATGAGTCCCCTATTATATTTAAAAAAAGGTAATGCTTATTAAAACCAGGAAATGTATAACGAAAGACACGCAATGCAAAGATAATCTATATAGCAAGTCTGAAATCTAAGCCAGGTTTGTTGATTATTGTTGATTGCAGCCAATAAAATCACAACATGTGTAATATAAAAAATTCAACAAATGTAATTTTCTAAAGATTTTACTATGCCAACTACTTTTAAAAAAAATTTTCTGCATGAAATTTTAGTCATTAATAAAATATTGGATCATGCGATGATAAGAATAAATGATTGTCGACATGTGATGCATAGCAGCCAATCATTTGTTCTGATATAACAAATGTGATATTTCTCATCGCATGGTTGTTATCGTGCAATTAAATCCATGCTTTACACGTCACGATTGGCTGAATTTGCTTAATTTAGTTATTGACATAATTTTGGCACAGATTTCAGACGTGCAATCACATCGCTAAAAAGAACAGAAAGAGTATCACGCAATTATATATTAATTACGTATTAACTTACAATTAGGATTATTTGGCAGACAAGTAGGTAGTGGTTCATGAGCATGTCGTGAAACAATAGCCACAGGATGAAATCCGGTCTCATCAGCAGACACCATCATTCTCAAGTCATTGATAAAAGTTTGATTATGACAATTTGGCACAGTACCAATATGGTAAAAATTTCCAGGGTATAATTCTGTAGACCATGATGCACTTCCGACGAGAGATTGTACAAGAAAATTGTCATATTGATGATTGGCATCAAAAAATTCTTTTAATTCTTCTGAATTAGTAATTGTGTAAACGCCTTGTCCTAATTTTGTAAAAGAGAATCAGATCCGTGCTATTTACAATTTAAAATACAATAATCAATTTTGTAAAGAAAATATTTACCGCAACTGCCATAGGGAGCTTTAATTACTGCACGACCTCCCATCTTTTCGATACATGAAGAAATTTCGCTCTTATTTACATTACATACGGTCTTTGGAAAACGAATAGCAAGTCCACTTCCGGAAAGTTCGGTATTATATAATTCAAATGCTTTTGATGCCATAACTTTGTTGTGACCTCCAGCTAAACATGAGATTATATTGTTAAAAACCACAGTCTTAGATTTTATAGGAAAATGAGTCCAAGGTTTATGTGCCATATGTTTAAGACATGCTCTAATGGGGTGCCAAACTAATAATGAAAAGTAATTAATAGTAAATATTAGTCTTACAATTTTTTAATATTGTGTAATTAGTAATTGTTTTGATAATTACCTTCATTTTGATCTTTGATATACATAATTTGATTCTTCCATTTAAGAGGTTGTTCATATTTAGCATCATCTTGAAGCATTACAAGCCAAACATGCTCGTTGGTCTCTTCAGAGATTGCAGCCGCATATCCAGTTGCTTCTATTTCATTGTTAGTCTTATCATACACTACAGCAAGCTCTCCAAGAGAGGGATCCGCGTTTTTTAGAGCTCGTTTAAATGCTGTTTGTATTACAAGCTTATATCCGTTTGGTCCTTTATTTATATCTAACGAAGGCATTGTCATCTGTCCTGCTGGACTTGATCCGGATTCAATAACAATCATTTGTCGTTTACCATTCGAATCAATCACATTAAATAAATCAGAAGCTAAGGAAAGTAAATAAAAAGTATATATTACTATATTAAGAATTAAATTAAATACACGTCATTCCGGTTATATCGATACCTCAAAAATAATAAATATATACCCATTTATCGTGCAAACTCTTATGATCAGATTTCTTTTCTTGTTATTTTTTGTGCGCTATTACTTAAGCACAATCCCGAATTAAACCTCAGTTAGCAACCACGACTTGTAAATCATGATCATAATTGCACGATAAAATCGATATTGGATCATGTGATGATAAATATCATAAAATTTGTTCTATCAGAACAAATAATTGGCTGAAACGTGCAGCTACACGGCAAATGTCAGGAAATCATTTGCTCTGACAAAAAAAATTCATATTAAGTAATAGATTCAAAATTTAAAAAATGTCGTTATAACCAGACACTAGTATATCACCAACAGTACGATTCACCGACAGTCAATTCACCGACAAGTTCATTTCACCGACAATACGATCCACTGACAGTCATTTCACCGGAAAATAATTCTAGTCATTGCCGTTAGGGTCAGGTTAAAATTAGAATTAAAGTGAGTGTAATTTATAAAAAAAAAAAAAAAAAACTTGTCAGGCCGGTGATGTCGGTGAACTGATTTTCGGTGAAATGAACCGGAACCAGTATATCCAGATGTCAATATAACTAAAGTGACGTGAATGCAGTTCGTTAACATAAATCGAAAACATAGATCGAAGTAATCACCTGCCCATTTATAAAATATTGGTTCATACTCTAAACAATTTCTTAAAACATTTACATCAACTTGAGGATTTAAATTTTTATATCTAGTAATAATGCGATCGATTTCTAAATTGAAAAAAGAAGATGCGAGAGGATGGACTTTTGCATCGAGTGCTTTTGAAATAACGCATAGTTCTGGATTAAAGTCTCCTGGATACACTTTCTTTGTTGGGTTGCTAATAGACATGGTATTAATAAAAACATCATTCTTTTGTCCTTTTCCATTATAAAGTTTTTTATTTGTATCTGAACTTAAGATTGAATCATTCACTGGGAATACTATATTCATATTGTAAGTGAGAACAAAATTTGGACTTTCTTAATTGAATTATATTTTGGGATAGAATTTGTTTTAAGTAGGTTAACAGACTCTGCTAATATCCGTAATGCTTATATAGCTTTATATGATATATGTTCATCGGATTAATATTACCGAATCATTCTTTAATTTCCTTATCAGCAATTAAAATTAGATTAGTGTTGTTCTACAGTTAAGGATTGGGCGAAGTATCAATAAAATTTTATTTGATAATATTTGAAAATAAGAAATATATTATAGCAGTATTTAATTTATATTATCCCTTAATCTGTAAGCTTTTCCAGGCAAATTTGTCATTCATAGGAAATTGGTTTCCAGACTTTTTATTAATACAGAAAAGACAGGTCTAAAAACTTGCTCATTTATTTTCAGTTTCAAATAAGGAAATTATAACTAACCTAACTAAGGAAAATAGAATTATTGAAAAGTCCGAAGGTTTTACACATACGCACGCAGTTGAATGCTATGCCTAGATTTTCTAAATACTTGTTTACTTTACTTCGCCTTATAACGATCTGATTGGCCAATTTGCTTACACCACTATGAAATCGTACATTCGCAGCAAGACGCAATCGGAAAGTGTGTACTGTACGTACCAGGTTGGTGGCGCAGACAAAATTCTTAAAAGTCGTTAGGGTCAGGGTTAAGAGTTAGAGGTGTGTGCTTTAAGAGGAAAATTGTCCAACGAAACCTTTTCGTTAGAGCACAAAAGGTGGTTTCTTATGCTGATTCTTGAGTTATGAGAAATTTTTAGCGAAACGAAAGTTTATTCGTTTATTTGAATCTTCTTGATAGCGTTACGTCACACCTAATATTGGAATCTGATTCGTATATCAAGGTACACGTTTTCCGATTTTTACTTATTTCACGAGTGACACAAACCAAAAAGGAAATCGAATTTTGTAAATAAACCAAGTGTATAAAGATAGAAGCTTAGGGTTAGGATGTTAAGATTAGAAGCTATAGCAATAGATTGTTTCTCATTACATGTAAAATTTCGTTCCTGACTTCTATGATTAGTGCACCAAGGCCGATTTAAACCCTAGTTTTTGAGTATTTCTGTGTATTTTGACCTTTTTCTTCTTCCGGATAGGTAAAATTTGTGCTCTCCGATTGGTCATTTTCTTTTTAGGGGCTTGTATTACTCGCGCAAATAAGAGCGTGCCTCCAAAATGGAAAATTATCTTTGCAAATAACAAAGTGCGTAATATACGTAGAAATTTAGGGATAAGGAATTAACGTTAAAGTCTATAGCGATGGATTATCTCTCATTATATGCAAAATCTTGTTCCACTCATTTTAATTAGTGTAGAGTTCATAACTATTATCCGGTTGTCCATTTATTTATTGGATATCCAGATCTGAATTTATTCGAATATCCGTTTTACTATTGATATCCGGATAATTATCCTAATATTTGTCGGTTTATTCGGATAAATTCAGATATGGATAAAGATTTATCCAGATTGGAACTCTAAATTAATGCATCAAAGTCGATTTTGGCACTAGTTTTCGGGCATTTTTCTCTTTTCCTTTTCTCAAGAATGATCAAAATTTGAAATCACTGATTGGCGGTTTTCTTTTTAAGAGGTTGTATTCTTTATGTCTCTATTGTAATGTTCTTCAGACAATAAAACATCATATAACAATTCTTAAATGATTAATGATTATATAAGTGAAATCCAAGGCATTTTACGGAAAACAGACTTATATCATAACCTGAAATAAATTCTGTTTCTACTTACAACATATTTACTTAATAGTAATACAAAATTCAATAGTTATAAAGATAAAGATTTATATGAACTTGTGCAAAATAACGCCTATGTGTAATATAAGCCAGATTGAGAACTGAACAAAAAATTCTATAACATTTATAAATTTTATTATAAAGTTCAGGTTTAGCAATATATAACTTTGAGAATTGAACTTGAAAATTTTTATATATAAAAATCCTTAAAGAATATTTTTGTCATGCAGAAATGGTTATGCACATACTATCAGCAGCTAAATGCCAAATTGTTACTTGAAAATTATAAGCATCATATAACATTACTCAAAAATAAGAGTAAGACAAATATTATTTGGCATGGTCTAAGATGATTATTAAAACTGGGTCAGTTATAAAAATAGGATACAGAAGATTCTGGAAGGTTTAGTACAAGGTCAAAAGTTCTCCATGTGAGTGAACTGCTTTAAAGACTTAGTGGTCATTGCATATCTTCACCAATATTGGTTAGGGTTATTGGTAGACAGAGGTAGGTGGGTGGATACAGAAACTGAGTGTTTAAATAGAGAACTTACAAGTAGGTTTTAAGTATAACAGTTAGTTTAGAATCTTCAAGCAGACTACTTAAATTAGACAATAACTAAAGTTGTATACTCACCTTAACATTTAAAAAAAAAAATGATTATTAAGTATTATAAAATAAGTAAATAGAATTTAAAGAGTATTTAGGTTTTAATTAATATTAGTTTTTTATTTGAAATAATTTTCAAAGAACTTTATTATTTAATTATATAAAGTATAGATTGTACATCTTTAATAAAAGAAAATCTATTTATATTTATAAGAAAACTATAAAAAAAAAAAAGAGAATATATACTAATTACTAATTATTTTTTCTTTTTTATTTAAGTTTATTTTTACAGTTTTTATAATTCTAATAATTTTATAAGAAAAAAAATACAAAATGTATATTATATATTATTATAATATTTAACAAAATTTATAATATGTTAAAAATAAATGAAAAGAAAAATGCTAGTAATACAAACAAATAAAAAATATATAACTAATGCAAAATAAATAGTTACAAAATTATTAGGTTCAGAAAATTGTAATTCAATCACTTCACAATGCAAATTATTGTGTAATGTATAACAAATAATCTTTTTAAAGATCAGTAAAGTAAGTCATATGAACAAGAACTAAAATAAATAATAAAGTTTATAGATTTTATAGAGTTTGTACTAGGTATAGTGTTAGTATTTTATTATAGATTATATAATATATTGTGACTTATATTTAATAAAGCAAATAAAGCATACTGTTCTAATGGTCATTTCAATCTTTATTTATAATACTAAATTTATTACTTACAAATATAATTTAACATTTATTATTTATTAAAACTAATTAAAGCTATTTACATATATTTATTTAATTTTTTCTTTATTCCTTATTTATTCTTTTAGATCTAAAATACTATTTGTGATTTTAAATATAACTTATTATACTTATTACACTTATTGCATTTTATACATTTTTCATATAATCAGTTATAATATTTTAGTTTTACAATATATAGATATTAAAGATCAAATATATAAAAATATTAGAAAATTGAAAAAAAAATTATATACAAATCAAAACATAACTAGCAACTTAGTAAAATAACCAAGAAGAAAAGAAAGATAGTTTTAGCAAAACTCTAGTTAATGTAAAAAGAAAAAGAAAGAATAACTATGAAATAAGCAAATGCAAAGATTATAAAAACAAATTAGAACAAATAATAGACAAGTGTAAAAGAAAAATAAGATAAAATTATAGTATAAAAACAATTTTAAAGATAATAATTAAAAAATAATAATAATACTAAACCAAATAACAAAAAACAAAATAATAGAAAATAGAGAAAGAAGAAAAGAAAACTAATAAGATTAAATTAAATAAAAGAATCAAAAATAAAATTAGTTAGAAAACAAATATTAAATAATAATATTACAATTATTTAATAGAAATTTTAATAAAAAATAAAAAAAAATAAAGACAAATATATATTCTATTTTTTTTTTAATGTTAAGGTGAGTATATGCAACTTAGGATTTTATTAATAGTATATATTAGCTAGTATCTGTTAATGTAACAGACACAGAGACAATTATAAAAAAAGTATACAACTAGCTATTTGTATAACTTTAGTCATTGTCTAATTTAAGTAATTTGGCCAAAAGTTCTATACTAGTTGCTATACCTAGGACCTATTTGGAAATTCTCTATTTAAATACTCTGATTCTGTATTCATTACACCCTACTAACAACTTCAGTAAACTAGTAAAAAAATGTTATAGTCACTAAGTCATGCTTAACTTTGTACTAAACCCACTAATGCATTCTGTATCTTATATTTACAGCTCATCCAGTATTACTTTGGTTTAAACTATTACTTGCAGTCAAGACTAATCATTAAACTACTATACTCTTATAAGATTTATTCAAAATCCCAGTACCTATCTTTTTAACATCTTTTCTATTGTCTTCTACTAACTGCTACTTAGGACCAACAGAACTTCTCAGATCTCCAATTCAGATAGTCTAGTATGGTATACCTTAGTATTCTTTTCTTCTAGTAATTTTAGTAACCTAGTTGGTCATATACTCTTTTATACATCTTGTTATTTGGTTTATTTGTTTATCTCTTTAGAAGTGTTTTATGGGCTTCCATTAGTCTAATAGCACTATTGAAAATTTTGTGCTATCTTTTTATTTAGATTTTTAAGTAGATTTCTGACTCTTCAGTTTCTTTACTTTTTACATCTGATGGTCTTATTATGAGTTTGCACTGAAGTCTTATGCAACATTGATTATTAACATTTCTCTATATAGATATAACATTACATTTTGCATAAATACTCTAAGCTTCTATTCAAAATAATATAACTAAAGGTTACAGATATACTAATCCAACTAATCAACAAAGACAATTATCATAACATAAATATATTTTCTAAAATTTGTTGTTTATAAAATTTAAACTTTAGACCTGTCATTTGGAGGTTAACAACCTGACTACTTTACTAAGTTGTTATATTTTAAATATATATTCTATAGAAATAATGCATTATATAAAAAAATAGAAACAATAATATAAAAAAATAGATATTAAATAGGTACAAGTAAGAAAAAAAAATTAATTAAAAAAAAATATATTAGAATTTTTTTTTATTTGTATAATATTAAGTAAAAA